AAATCACACCAGTTCCTGATGTTGTCCATCATGAAGACAAAGTAGTGAAATCACACCAGTTCCTGATGTTGTCCATCATGAAGACAAAGTAGTGAAATCACACCAGTTCCTCATGTTGTCCATCATGAAGACAAAGTAGTGAAATCATACCAGTTTCTGATGTTGTCCATCATGAAGACAAAGTAGTGAATTCACACCAGTTCCCCATTTTGTGTATTATAAAACCAATGTAGTGAAATCACACCAGTTCCCCATTTTGTGTATTATAAAAACAATGTAGTGAATTCACACCAGTTCCTCATTTTGTGTATTATAAAGCTATAGTGGAGAAACACTAACAAACCCATTTCTTGATCATGTTATTTAAACACGCCACAGAAAACAGAAAGAAAAACCTTTCAAGTTCAAATTAATATTTTTGGTGAAAGAACTAAGAAATATATATATATAAAGTTATATCTTCCCGAATCCACAAAAAAAGTTGATTGAGTTGGACAAAAGATTGGACTGAATAAACCATTATGACCTTGAAAGAAAAAATGCTGAGATCATAAAAAAAAATCCACATCGTTATTTCATTTTGTTATTTTGTTGTTGTTTTTTGAAACACCTTTAATAACGTAATCTTCGGAAACTGGTAATTCATAGCTACGTGGAAAGGAAGGTTCAGAAAGGATTTTACACACATTAAGTTCATTGGAAGGATACAGGAACAGTTGCATTACTACCTTCTACTATTTGATAGAGGGTAATTCAAGATAAGTCCTTAATCCCTAGAGAAGCACTCATTTTCTTAAAGATTTCATCAGATTCCAACTCGCGATTTTCCTCTGGGCCCTCTTTGGAAACGTGACAAGGAGCTTTAATCTTAGACTATCTCTCGGTCGGCACTTAAAATAAGTGTAGTTGACATGCACTATAGAGTGCCCTTAGAATTTGAACTTGACAAAAAAAATGGCCTTTATGCCTCACATCAGCGTGCTTACTAAGCTCGTAAAATATAAGAACATTGATCTTCGAGAAATACCCTTCACAATTACTTGTATGCTAAGCCTACTTTTGTTTATGTCGTATTTTCTCAACAAAAATACATAACATGTGGATCCTTCGTTATCTCTGCATCATTTATCAAAATCCCCATTTATTTTACGTCTTATCTTGGCAAATATCACGAAGGTTCCAATATTAATAGAATTAATTATTATAAGTTACTGTATACTTGTTAATACCCTACGTTAACTCCTTTAAGACATTATGCAGTTTTTATATTACCTGTTTTAGTAAATTATCAAGATCTTATGTTAACTCCTTTAAGACATTATACAGATTTAATATTAACTCTTTTAGTAAATTATCAAGATATTATGTTTACTCTTTCAGCAGGTTATTGAGATCTTACCTAACTCTTTTACCAGGTTAGTTAGATCTTACGTTAACTCATTTAGCAGGTTATTGAGATCTTATGTTAACTCTTTCAACAGATTACCAAGATGTTACGCTAAATCTTTCAGCAGGTTATCAAGATCTTACCTAACTCTTTTACCAGGTTAGTGAGATCTTATGTTAACTCTTTCAACAGATTACCAAGATGTTACGCTAAATCTTTCAGCAGGTTATCAAGATCTTACCTAACTCTTTTAGCAGGTTAGTGAGATCTTACGTTAACTCATTTAGCAGGTTAGTGAGATCTTACGTTAACTCTTTTAGCAGATTATTGAGATCTTACTAACTCTTTCAGCAGGTTATCAAGATCTTACCTAACTCTTTTACCAGGTTAGTGAGATCTTACGTTAACTCTTTTAGCAGGTTATTGAGATCTTACGTTAACTCTTTCAACAGATTATCAAGATTTACGTTAACTCTTTTAGCAGGTTATTGAGATCTTATGTTAACTCTTTCAACAGATTACCAAGATCTTACGTTAACTCTTTCAGCAGGTTATTGAGATCTTACGTTAACTCTTTCAACAGATTATCAAGATTTACGTTAACTCTTTTGGTATATTACCAAGATTTACGTTAACTCTTTTGGTAGATTACCAAGATCTTACGCTAAATCTTTTAACAGATTATCGAGATCTAACGTTAACTCATTTAGTAACTTACTACTTACAAATCGAGCAAGTTTGACACTTAATTTATAGACTTATTTACTCGGTAAGATAGTATTATTCTAATTTTATTTTTACTTACTTTCTTTAATGACAGGTTTGCAATGCTTTCAAATTAAGCTCTCAAAATAAACAACCACAGATTACGCACAGTTTTAACATTACAGCACCTTTAATTTGAACACTGTACAACGTGAAATTGTTCACAGTCATTTAAAATCCATTATATTAATGAGTTAAAGTGTAATAAACGTTTCTTACACAAAAATCTGCCTCATAAAACTGTACAGTATACATATAATATAAAAGGTTAAATACACTGTCGTCGATACAAGTTTGATAGTAGGTTCTAAAACACAAAGAAATTAAGCTCTGAATGAATGATGCAACGCTTGTGACGCTGAAAGTTCCTAAAGAACATCTTGCAACGGAAAATTGAATCCATTACAAATTAGTGTTATAATGCAGGGTATACTAAACTTTTGACACATTATTTGACAAAAATCTAAATTCAGTAAATGTTTTTATTTCACACACACACATATGCACAGAGAGAGAGAGAGACGCGCGTAGAAAAAAAAATGGATTTTCTGTCAAGCAGAACATGAAATTCCAGAAATTCACGATGTAAGATCAGTCCGCAAATATAAGAAAAATCTAAACGCGTAGAAATAAAAGGGTGATATGAAAGAATTTCAAAAAATGTTAAAACAATTAGCAACGTTAAAATATTAACATCGGTTGAAACGCAGAAGTAGCCCGAAAATCATGGAAGTTTGTTTGTTTGTGGAATTTTGGGCAAAGCTACTCGAGAGCTATAAGAGTTAGCCGTCCCTAATTTTGAAGTGATATACTATAGGGAAGGCGGCTAGTCAACACCATCCGCCGCCAACTCATGGGACACTCTTTACCAATAAATAGTGCAATTAACAGTCATATTATAACGCCCACACAGCTGAAAGGGCGAGCATTTTTGGTGATGGGTTTCGAACCAGCGCCTCGCGAGTCCTGTGCCCAACCCAGTAGGTCGAGCCATGGAAGTGAGCTGAGACCATTGTTCAAATTGAACTCCTAGTGGTGGTAGGGTATTACACCTACTACTATTACTACAAATAATAAGTGTTACAAGTGATTTAGCTTTTATTAAAGACTGTTGTGAGTTTGAGAAATTACAAATATTGTCGTGTGTGAAAATGAAAAGCGTTGAGGAAAGGAATGGTACTCAAGACACGAGTTGAGTTGCAGACATTAAGATCAGTGTGATAAATTAATACCTCTTCTGTGAGTTGAGTTGCAGACATTAAGATCAGTGTGATAAATTAATACCTCTTCTGTGAGTTGAGTTGCAGACATTAAGATCAGTGTGATAAATTAATACCTCTTCTGCATTGTGCTTGAAAACGACGACATATCAGCACTCTTTGGACTTGAAGATTAACACAAGAGTGTTAAAACTTTGTCCATCTTTTCGAGAGACTGTCCTTTCAACTCATCCTGAAATCCAACAATGAAAACATCCTAACTGAATCCCTATACTATTCCTATTGTTACCGTTTACAACACTGACAATAACTAGTACAGTGTATCTTTAATGTAAGGCATAAATTAACCCAGTACGTGAAGAAATTTTTGGAAGTAACACACACACACACACACACATATATTATATAAATATAATATACATTATTATAGGTGCAATAAGGTTATATATATATATAGACGATAACAACGAATTGGAATACCACATTAACGATAAAATAGTGAAAATACGAATCTGGTAAGGATAAGAATCTGGTTTCCCAGTAAATGTTTCAGGCTAACCCGAGAATTTCAAGTTCATACACTGGAGGCACTTCCTTTAAAAAAAGTACGTAAGATAAAATTAGACACAACATTTAACTTATTATCGTGAATTTTTTACTTGAACAAGATCTTTCGGAAAGCTTTCCTAAAGTCCCGATTAAAGATAGTATAGATGATAGGATTAATAGCAGAGTTCAAATACCCTAACCAGAAAGCAACACCAAATCCAAAATCACTAATTTTACACTGTTTACAAATAGCAGACAATACGTAAAGAACGAAGAACGGAAGCCAGGCTAATATAAAAGCTATCATAATTAGTCCCAAAATAACTGTTGCCCTCCTTTCTCTCGCCTTGGCGATCTTGCGTTTCTGTCTCTCTACAGCAGAGGTGTAGCATCGAGTAGGCTCGTTGAATGTGCATTTCCCGCTGGTGTTTTTACCTCTCTTGAAAATGTTTTTTGTTTCATAAAGTTCATTAGCATCTTCGTCTTTTCCATAATCCGCCAAGGAAATGGTGGAGCCAAAAGACGCTTTCAAGCCTTTTGGAGTTTTTAAAAGTAAAGAATACGAGCCCGCCTCCAAATCTGTCTTGGAGATGGTCTGTACTTTGTAAGCCGAACCGAAAGGTTTTTCTTCGTCAGTCATGGATTCACTGCTACCGCTAACAGTTTGACTAGAAGGATCCAGAGTTCCTTGCCTGTTTTCATCTTCTGTTGCTGCCTGGTCATCTTCGGAATGTTCCTGTTCTTCTGCAGAATTCTCGATTATAATCTGAGGCATTTTGGGTAAAAGTTTGGAGTGCTTGGCGTACGTCTCACTGCTTCCATTTGTCTTGAGTTTCTCGAAGAACGAGTTTCCTTCCGTATCCTTCCCCTTCTCTGGGGGGCTAGGGTTACTGAAGCTGGTGCACGTAGTTGTTGTCGTAGTTGTTGACTTATCCCTTCCTGGATCGTTCGTCACTTCCGGTTGAGTTTTCTTTTTCACATGACGTCTAGCACGAGAACGCGCGGCAAAAAATATCCGTATGTACACGAATACCATTACTGCAGCTGGAATGTAAAACGAGCCCAAGGCAGAATACAAAACGTACCCGATTTCTTCACTGACTTTGCACTCGGGGTAGTCTGTTGGTCTGTCTGACTTCTTCCATCCCACCAACGGTGGCAGAGATATGAGAGCTGACAGAAGCCACACGAAGCAAATCATAGCGATCGCTCGTGTCGGAGTCCGCTTCTTCAGGTATTCCACAGCGTGGGTCACTGACCAATACCTATCTAGACTAATAAGACACAGATTATTTATTGACGCTGTGCAGAGAAGAACATCAAGCGCAGCATGAATGTCGCACCAAATATGTCCGAAAATCCAGTAGCCCATCAACTCATTGGCCAGCGAAAAAGGCATAACTACCAATCCAACAAGAAAGTCCGAAACCGCAAGCGAGGCAATGAACCAGTTCTGGACAGTTTTTAACGACTTTTCTGTTGCGATTGCTATACAGACAAGCATATTTCCGACCACAATTATAACCATAACACAAGTGACGATGAGGGCAATTAGTATAATGTTAATACGGGAGTAACCACTCGGATATGGAGATCCTCCCCAAGGATCATCCAGTTCCACAGGACTAACTTGATGTTCTGTTGTGTAACTTTCTCGAGAAGATGTGTCATTTAGAGAAAGGTTTGTAGCTGTATACGAATCGTTCCATTCCATCCCGGATTCCAGATAAACGATATACGTAATGTTATCCAAGTTGTACGTGGTTGTCATGCTTGTGTTGATCTGGAAAATAAAACCCGTCCGATACACATTGTGATAAGAAACTGAGTGAGGAACCTCTTCAAGCTGATGTACACATTGGGCAATGTGCCTCAAGTTGATGACGATGAAAGACAACTGGGAATTCTCAAGGAGAGAAATAACGCAAACGTTTCATTTCAAGTCTTGACGGATAGCACCAATGAGACACTGGAGTGACATCTGAAAAATTGATATAAAAAAACTTAATTAATAGAACTGTCTTCGAGATCAGCTTATTATTTTATTATGTTCTTCTTGAAGTTTCTAACAGAAAAATAAAACTATCAAGATCCTTCTTATATTAACCATGTTTTTCTTGTTGTGACAGAGAATTTAGCAAATAAATAATGAGCATAAGAACACTCATATCTTAGTGGTAAAGTAAGATTCAGGGCTTACAAGTTCAGGAATTTAATACGAAGAGGTATTTCAGTAAAACACAGAGTGTAAAAAAAAACAAATATTCAATGCAGGTATTACCAATTTAATATTAAGCAGAATGCACGTTTGTTCTTAAGCACAAAGCTACACACTGGGCTATCTGTGCTTTCAGAATTAATGCTAAGCCACTGGAGGCAAAATAAAATGTCAGAAGAGAAAAAAAAAGCAGTAAATTCATACCTGACGCTACGAAGAACACACCTTTTTTTCAGGTTTAACAATTTAGAAGTTTTGAACAAAGAGATGACTGATTGAATCTCATGTGACTTACTTCAAACTTTTTTGATAAACGTTTCAAAGTGACTCTAATTTTTTCCCTTTTCAGTCCAGTCAGCTGTCCGGCTCTTTTGTAGTCCAAACAGTAACTGGACATTTTTCATTTAATAGAGCCAGGTGGGTAGGGTGTTCGACTCGCAATCTGCGGGTTGCGGGTTCGAATCCCCATCAAACCAAACATGCTCGCCCTTTCAGCCGTGGGGGCGTTATAACGTGACGGTCAATCCCACTATTCGTTAGTAAAAGAGTAGCCCAAGAGTTGGCGGTGGGTGGTGATGACTAGCTGCCTTCCCTCTAGTCTTAGACTGCTAAATTAGGGACGGCTAGCGCAGACAGCCCTCGTGTAGCTTTGCGTGAAATTCAAAACAAACAAACAAACATTTAATAGACCAACAAACGTATGATGGCAAACTGTGTTTTTCAATAGTTATTTTCAATGTCTTACCTCTGATATGCTTATCATTCCAAATAGCGTAAATAAACAGTTTTCAATATAGACAGTAAAAAGGAAGTTATGTAAAGAGGGCAAATGTTCTTGAATTGGGGCAGACATTTTGTTAAGTAAAACACAATGAACGAAAAGTGAACTGCCTCCCCCCCCCCCCCAGTGGCACAGCGAGAGGGCAAATGTTCTTGAATTTGGGCAGACATTTTGTTAAGTAAAACACAATGAACGAAAGGTGAACTGCCCCCCCCCCAGTGTCACAGCGGTATGTCTTCGGTCTTATAATGCTAGAAACCGGGTTTTGATACCCGTGGTGGGCAGAGCACAGATAGCCCCTCGCGCAGCTTTGTACAAACAAACAGAAATGTGAACTAACAGCGAATAGGACAGGTAGTGAAAAGAAATGAGATTCAGTCTGTCGTAATCACTTTAAAACATTCCCTTATTAACTTAAGTTTTAATTATTCCGAAAACTTTTATTTAGAACAATGGCGTAGGCAGCGACACCTATATTCATTACTAGAAACAGAACCTTTGGAATTTACTTTCCGTTTACGTGTAAAATGTTTCCGTAAAATACAGTGTTTATATTCCAGAGTTTCAATTTAAAAACTAGAGTAATAACAAAAACCTTATTAATTATTAAAACAACGACGTTTCACTGGTGTTTAACGAGATAATGAAAAACGTCTTTTAAACGCTATGATCCCCTGAGGTGCGTTTTTCCATCTAAGCTTCTAGTATTACAATTATTACATGTATCGCTTTTTACAAACTCGTGATTTGCTTACTAAATTATAGATATTAGTAGAAACGGGATGTTTTAGTGCTTGGCTGTCGAGAGTCGCGTGTACTTTTTTTAAACCGTTGTGTTCACTGGAACGTTTATTTTAACTCAACCAGCCTTAAATTACCGGTGGTTCTTTTTTTAATTATCACTGTTTTTGACGTCTGTTTCTCATTAATTGAACGATATATGGTCATGAAAAAGTACTACTTCTAATAATAGCTTTCAAAACTACGTGCGAGAAAAAACCTAGCTTTCTGGATATAAATACTTGTACTTTCGTTATGACATTAGCAATAAACCAAATAACCTACAAAACATTTCCCTAGTGGACAAACTTCAAACTACATTTGTTAAGAGTACGAAAGTGGTATTTACAGTACGTCACTTTGAAACACCATTTCTAAAACACGTTCCCCAGATGTCGCCCAAAGTTAGGATTTATTACTCCATTTCTGTCAAACAGATAACTCTAATTCCCCCTCCCCCCCAAAAAAAATTAACGCGTGTTATAAGCAAGGTTTAAAAATAGCGTATTACAGTAGTTGAGTATAATGTTGTTTACCAAGTCAGGCGTAAGAACGTAAAATCTTTGAAAATATACATTTTGAGTGTGTAAAATAATCTTTGAAATAAGAACGTAAAGTCTTCGAAAATGTACATATTTTTTTTTTTTGTTGGGCGAACTAATTATTAGAGACGTTGAAATTTATATTCTTATGGACCGACAGAAACGTCATGATTTCCTAGGAACGAGGCTGTAAATATTCTAATCTTTACGCTTCAGCTGGACAAAATGGCGCTCATACATAGCAAACAATGTCAACACAGACTATTGTGTGTGTGATCGTAGGGTTAGAAGAATACATTTCTCGGAATAGTTTACAAGATCACGAGTTCTCGTCTAGTATTTGCAGTACCTTTAATGGTATTCACTGTCGTCAATATACATAATTTTATTTTAAAAAATATACGTCAAGATGAGTAGGATAGAGAGGCATGCTTAATTGTTGGACTGTTAATAAAAGAGGATCTATTAGAACATTAGCAATATTTCTATTGAACCTTTATTTTCGTCTTAAGGGGCTTAATAGAAAATGAGCAATATTTCTATTGAACCTTTATTTTCGTCTTAAGGACATTAAAAAATGGGCAATACTTATATTGCAACATTATTTTCATATAAAAAAGGATTTCTTTGGAAATTATTTTATTTATATATTGCAGCTTTACTTTTGTCGTGTCCCCCCTCAATGGCACAGCGGCATGTCGGCGGACTTACTGCGCTAGAAACCGGGTTTCGATACCCGTGGTGAGCAGACAAACAAACTTTTGTCACAAAGAGGTTTCTTAGAAAACAAGTATTACAGCTTTATTTTCGTCTTTTACTTTGGTTTTGACGATAATCATTAATTTCGCGTAACATACATAACTACAAGAGCTAGTGACGAACAAGTTTTTCAGCATTTTTTAAACAAAATGTTTTAAAATGTTAAAATTCCAACAAACGGTTTAAAAATCAACTATTATATTTTTGCCATAGTTTTAAAACAAAAGTGGAATATTGTTTCAGTCTATTACATTAATATGACTAAATTGATGAGTAGCTGGAGCAAATGCATTAAATGTGATAAACACGCCAAGTTTACCTGGCGACTAGTCAACATTTTCTATTGTTGACTGCTATCTTAACTCGGTTCTTCGTTTTGACGCAGTTTGTACAAATCTTTTTTTCTCAGTATTTACGAACGTAAATAAAACGTTAGTTTGTGCTTTTAACGAGCTACAACTTACTTTTAAACTAAGGCACTAATAATTCCGCACGAGGGCGCTACGTATTAAAAGAAAAAAATGAGACAGACAGATAGGCTAATGATGACAACTATTCGTTTGACGGACTCTAAGCTGGTTGCTGTTAAATACCCCCCCCCCTCCTTTACCAAGTTGTATACTTGTTTACTATCAAAATTTACCCTTATTGTTCTGCTCAATAGCCTTAAACTACGGGGTTTGAGAGGCTTTTGTTTCGCCGGAATAATAAATTACAATTAAATGTGTTTAGTTATGATAAATTCCAAAGTTTTCCTCTCTATAGCCACTTTTATAAAGATGGCACATTGGATACACAGTATTAAATATGATATATATATATATATACGAACTAGAATTAGTTAGAATATGTTCAAACTTGTCTTCTCCCTCACATCAACATTGATAATATAATCCAGTAAACAAAAGATCGTGGTCCGAATAAAGTAATCCCAAACATATCTGTACAATACATATTGTTATCCAACACCACTGTGACAAACAATAGTAATTCAATACGTTTCTCAAGACAAAGGCCACCTTGTCTTGATAGGAATTTATATGAGGTATTTGGTATGAAGCCTCGATAGAACTAACGAACTTATTTGTTCCACGCAAAGCACGTGGCAAAGGATGATTACAAACGTACCTGTCAAATTCAGCCCGTTTTCAAAACTATAGTATTACGTCATTACAGTTGGAGTAGATATATTTAGTTGAGGACTGAGGAAGACACATATATATATATATGTCGGAAATATTACAATATTTCAATGTTTCTAATTCTTGAGTGCAATGCTCTAGTGAGATGTTGAGGATGTCGTTATACGTTGCAGAGTTAATGAAGAGAAGTAAAACTGGGGATCTAAAAACCGAAATTAAACCTGCAGAACATAGATCTTTCCCTGATTGTAAGTGTGTTCCGCTTTTACAGCTTCTCCCCAGATTGTAAGCTGGTTCGTTTTTACAGCTTCTCCCCAGATTGTAAGTTTGTTCCGCTTCTCCCCAGATTGTAAGTGTGTTCCGCTTTTACCGCTTCTCCCCAGATTGTAAGTGTGTTCCGCTTTTACAGCTTCTCCCCAGATTGTAAGTGTGTTCCGCTTTTACCGCTTCTCCCCAGATTGTAAGTTTGTTCCGCTTCTCCCCAGATTGTAAGCTGGTTCGTTTTGAAAAATTTGAATTATTATAAAAAAAATTGGAAAGATTAATTTACCAATTCCCCCTTGATATGTATGAAGGGGAAGACTACACATTTCAGATGTTTAAATCCTGACAACATATTTTTGTGTGTGGCCAGCTCAGACAAGACAATTTGGGCCTCCACTAAATCGTACTTCACTTATAAACTTCTGCGCGTACGTTTAGTGGATTAAATATATTTGAGAGATACTTTTCAAAGATAACAACGACGCTTCCCAAACT